AAAAAAAAAAAAAAAAAAAAGAAAAGGGCACAAAGAGGCCTGAGCAGAGGAGCTGCTGGGTGGAATCCTAAGTGTCAGAGCAGGAGGGGACACTGAGCGCCTCTTTCTCAACCTTCCGATCCTGTGTTTTATAGAGGAGGCATCAGACCTGGGGAAGGAGGTGCCTTCCTAAAGGTTCTGCAGCTGGGGCCTTTCAGTGTTTGTTAGACTAATTGAGATATTTCATGCATATTTCTTGTTTACTTTATTTGTAGCATGCACTTAGTGAAGTTGATCCTGCTGATTGGCAGAAATTTGTGAAGACAGGACTCAAGTAAGTTGATTTTATTTTCTCGGTGCCATTTAGTAAAGGCGTGAATGTTGTTGGTCATGCAGAGCCTCTTTTGTAGCTTGCTGTTAGCGTAATGCCTGTGGCAGAGCAAGTGTCCTCCCGTTTTTAGAGATAGAAGATGAGGATTGTTAGAGAAGATAAATGATTTGACTATTGACTCGCAGGGTGCTTCTAATGAGGAGAGAGGCAGCCTTTTTAACAAATAGACTATTTTAAAAATACAGAAATGTGCAAAGAGTAAGAGCAGCCTCCAAATTTAATAAATGCTGACCATTTTCTATGTGTGTCCTGTTTCTTTCTCATCTCTCCTTGCTGAAGGTCATCACTCTGAGAGTGTGCTTTGTCTCATGCATTTGCACTTTGTGTTTTCCTACTCTGTCAGTACGTTTTTAAACAATATCGCTTAGTCTGTTTAACATGTTACATGGGTGTGTGGTTCTTTGTATATCTTTTTTTCACATGAATGTTTCTGATTGATCCATTTTGATGCATGGAGATCTCAGTTGTTCATTTTTACTGCTGTAGAGTATTGGGTCTTCTGACTGTTTTCCAGTTTATTTAGCCAATCCTCTACTAGACATCTAGGCTGTTCCCTAAACTCTCCCCTTCCTCTGCCCCTACCATATTCTCTCGTTACAGTCCTGTAGTGACTGTCACATGTCATGGGGCGGGGTGGCGGGGGGTCTTACAGGCCGCTAGTATGGGTGCACCTTCAGTTCTAGATATTCAAACTGCTCTCCAAAGTTGCTGAGTAGATTTGCACTCCCAGCAGAGTATGTGTGAGAGTTTGTTTTCCCCTGTGTCCTCACTGACACTTGGTATGGTCTGACTCTTTAGTTTTTGGCAATCAAATAGTCAAGAAATGATATTTCATTGTGCCTATAATTTTCATTTTCCTAACCATTCATGAAGTTGGAATGGAAAAAATTATTTCACACAAGGTGAGGGAAAGAGGTGAAGGTAGGTCCCAGATTAGTGGCAACTAGAGGTGACCGTCATGGAACTGCAACATTTCTTTCTGTCTTAGGTTATTGTGTGTTTCTAGAATGCCCACCATATGCTAAATGATTCTTACAGGTATGCATGTAGGACTGAAAAACTCCTTTTTTCTAGAGCATGCTTCTTTCCCTCCTTTGGTGGGTTTTGAAGGAATGTAAGACACAGAAAACTTCTGAACCGTTTGATGGAAGTTCTGAGTAGCTGGAAGTGAGGCAGGAGGGAGGCCCCTGGGGTGAGGTGGGCTGGGGGCGCTGGGTGTCGGCTTTCTCAGCTCTGCAGCTCTGCGGTTCCCATGCCTCCTGGCGTTTCTGTTAAGCAGGAAGTTCATCTGGTGTTGAGTCATAGAGGAAATAAATGCATTGCATCCCTCCCTTGTTTCCAGAAGGGCTCCCTGTGAATGGTGGCCAATGGGATGTGGTGGAGTGAGTGTCGTGCTGTGTCAGTGGTAGGAGCTAGGTGTTGGGTACAAGGACATTCACTGTAAATTTCTCAACTTCGTGCTGTGTTTGAAAATTTTCTTAATAAAATGCTGGGAAAATTTTTTTTATTGTTTCATGTGAAATGAAATTCCCCTTTAGTGAAGTTCTTTTCCCTTTGACTCTTGCCTCCCAGGTTTCGGTATCAGGACCACACATTTTTAAAGACCCTCCACGCTGCCATACAGCTCCTGTACCGCCCAGAAAGCTCCACGAGCATAAAGCTCATCCCACTCCCAGTGGTCCACATGATGCTCACCCAGCATTCTCTGTTTCTGCCGACTCTGCTGAAGTCTGAAGAGGGGGACAACCCAGACAGTCAAGTAAAAGGTGACTCCTCACCCCCACCCTCCAATTTCAGACCCAGATTTTATCTCCTGATTTCATCAGACTAGCTGTGCCCCAAAGCCTGTCTCCCACAGCTCTCAGACTCACCACAACGGTATTAGAGTGTTTTGTTCCTCCCAAATCCAGGGTCAAGAAATGTTTCCTCCAACTTACAGTCAAACAGCACATGCACACCTGTTTCCAAGGCCTTATCTGGCTGACAGAAGTCTGATTGCGCCCTTACTGCTGTATCACGAGCTAGGTTAGAATCTGGGAGTTAGGGGAAGTTAGGAGAT